AAACGAAGGACCCGCATGGTGTGGTGGTGAACGCGTTACTCCCCGGAAAGGACAATAGCGCGTTCGTTCCCCACCATAGACACCTGCGGTCCAGAGTTTTGCAAATATCTCAGCAACGTTGTGGTTGTGTTTCAGTTTCAATTTATGCCTGGAGCCATATGATTATTTTTAGAGGGAAAAGCTTGCCCAGTTAACAAAGTACTGTCAACAACAGGCGCGACTTACAAAAGAAAGAGAAAAGTAAGCAGAAATTCTCTTGGATACCTACCAGTTTTCTTTATTTACTGCTTTTATTACAATTCAGAGAAATGGACGAACTCAAAGAATGGGTTACCGTTGCTGAAATCAAGATGAAAGAGAATGAACAGGAGAAGGTGTGCCTGCTTAAAGAGATAGAAGATATGAAGAAGCTTAGCAAAAGGTATACTATCTCTTGTGTTGACTTCCTTAATAAGCAGTAGTACTGTTCTGGTAATGGGGGCGTGTATCGCAGTGATCGGAGGTGCCCCGCAATACACATGGAGTTGATCCTCGCGCCCTAGGCTCACCAAGCCCTTCATCCATCTGGGGTCGGCAAACTGGTACCAGAGTTGTCTGGGAGAATGGCAGTACTGGCTCGATACGCCGTGAAACATTGTAGGGGCCAGATATGCATTCAGTCACCTCCAACAACGGCTAATGAAGTCGAATGCATGGCGAATCCCTCAAGGATTGATCAACGCCGAGACCTTTATCCTTTTATTTATTGTCGTAATGTGTTTTCTTTTTTTTCCGAGGCATCATTATCGTTTTAAATCTCTATGTTGTTTTAATTCCTGCAGATTCCTCATTTTGAAGTCGAATGAACCAGCTGTACTTTCACAGGGCAGTGAGTGGTAAAGATTGCACTTTACGTCTAAGGACACCTTAGGTGTAAAACCTTTTATTAAGAAAGTTAAAATTATAGACGAGTAACTGGCGAGATTAACCGAAAGCCTGCCGTGAGTTTCTACTTTAACTAACTAGCTTTGGTTTTTACTTTAACTAAATGTCTTTGTTAAATCGAGTTGTTCACTATTCGTTTTTACTTGTTGCTGACTTTCTCGTTAAGATTCGGTAAGGACATCGGGTACGAGTCAACTATTGATAAAATCTTTGCCGACACCCAAAACGCCTGCAGTAGTATGTACAATATAGTGGCGTCATTTCCTTTATCTTTTATAATTAAAACTTTATTTTTTTTGGATTGAGGTAAGTTTCCTCAATGTTTATTTCCAGATAACACTTCATGCCAGGCAGGGATAACTTTCACTAATAACTTCGAAACGGACACCAATTGCCATCCTTCGTCACCGTCATTTTTGCAGGTATTTCCTGTTTCTTTAGAGTGCTACGCAATTTGAACTGGACATTTTCTTTTTCTAGTCATCTGCTATGAATGTAAGTGGAGAATTAAGTTCTCTTGCCGGCACTATTGTCAGTCCTCACTCCTCCATAAATAACAGTGTCACATCAGAAGTGAGTAGAGACTCCAAGTGTTTCTTCTTACAAGTTTTTTTTCTGGAACTCAGGACGGGAAAATAGTTATTTTCTTACTAGTTTTTAGATGACGACTCCGAAAATGCTCGGCCTTCCCAAGAAGGGGGCTACTAATTCGGGGGGGATGTTTCGTAGAACTCCTTTAGGGTAGGGACGTTTTGCTTTTCGAAATAATGAAATCTTTGTGATCTCTTCTTACCGTTATTTAAAACCAATTCGAAAGAGTCACCTCACGATTATGGCCTAAATCACAATTATTTCAGGATGGATAGTCTAAATCCGTATGCAGAAGTTTTCAGTCGCGCTTCAGTCGTTCAAAAGTAGGCAATAATGTTGGAATATAACGGCTTGTAGTTCTAATTTCTTTGTTAGATGAATTCGATGCCTCTTCCTGTTAGATATCTCTATTTTTAGACGGAATAATCGCACGCCTTCAAAATTAAACTTGTGTACTGGAGCCAAGCAATCACTGTTACGTTTTCATTCGAAATCACCTACTACGTCAGGTATGTCTGCGTGTTTAATCCATATTCGTTTTCGCTTAAAGAACACTGTTGTATCGGCCTGACCTCTCATATTTTACAGTGTCATGTTCTTTTCGTTTTTAACATCCTGATAAGTGTCCGCTTAACGCTTGTATTAATTTATAGTGAAAGATAAATTTGAATATTATAGCGTTAATTTTTCAACAACCAAAGAATTGATAGGGTTGAGATCACTACGGACTTGTAGAAGATGTTTGCTTTATCCATTTAGACGTGTAAATATTGCTACTATATCTTACGTTTTGCTATGTTCCACCTGCTAAACCCACTACTATCAGAATTTGAGAAAATTTTGCCATTGTGTTGATGTATTGCGACATTCCCTTATATCTGCCTATCACGATTGCCATAACCCATCGTAAGGGTCTCTGCTGGTTTTGTAATAATCCCCAATAATTTTCTGTCACTGGAGGCCTTAAGAACTTAGTAATTTGAAATAGTTGCAAAAAGACTCTTCTCTATCACTTTTTAGGGAAGTGATAAGTTTTCTAAAGGGTTGTTTTCACTTCGGGTTTATTTAGAGATGAATCCATCAGGCATAACTAATTTTTTTTATCATGTCTAAATAAGAAACTTGAAGATCGTTGGCGCAAATCTCTAGTTGCTGATAGTTTCTATTTCAATTGATAAAGTTCACTATGAGCTGAGATGTTTTTTGAAAACTATAACTGCTTTCACCTTCGTATAAATTAAAAGCTGTAAAGATATCAACGGTTCCACCGTTTATTTGCTATATAAGATCCTCCTCATTCATGGTTTGTTGATGAGTGATCACATCGCTGGCTGATACGGTCTGCGGCATCTAGAAAAACACGGAAGCCCTAATTTTGAGCAGGAAAAACATCTGGCATTGTTATGCAGTATTCAAGCTGTTTTCATGGTGTACCATAGTTGCACCACTACTTTTGAGATCAAGTAATACCCTTGTTCTTGGAATGTTAACTGCTAGTCCGGCGTGGTTTTCCCTAGAATCCCTAGATAGCCGTTCTCATGTCTTCACCATGTTGTCATTATTATGTCACAGGGAAGGTTTTCGTCTGCCAACTAGGTTTCCTTTGGAGGAGCAGCAATTCTTGTAGGGTTAGCGAATCGTGCGATTGAAAGATCAAACGCTTGAGGACAACGCAATAAGCTCAATGCACCAGACTGAGTACAAGGTCGCAGAATTTTTTAACTGTCACATGGGGCTTTCTTCGTAGCACTTATTTCCCACTGAAATTCATCTTGTGGGGATATGGAAATTCACTATGTAACATAGGAATCACACCGCCCTCTTCATCAGAATCGTTGGCAAAGAAAATACTGGATGCTGGACACATCTATGCTATCGTTTTTGAACAGGTTCCGATCATCGTCTTCTTCATGTGACGATTTTATTTAGCGTCAAACTGGAGCTAAAGAAAGGCGACAAGTTGGGTATAATGAGAGAGTTTTGGACAAATTTCTTTGATAACTGGCAAATCGAGGGTTTCGAATTTCTGTTAGAGTATTAGAAAATGCGTAGAATACAACCCATTCCTTCAGCTGTGAAATCTGGATTGAATCTCTCACATACAGTGAGATTCTCAAGAAAAGAACTGGATCTGCATCGGAATTCAACAAATCTCGCGCGGCTGGTAATAAGCGCAAAATGTAGAACTTTGCAAAATGGCTTAGAGTGTTCGAAAGGAAAATAACGTTAAACGTAGGATTCTTAATAAAATAAATAGCCCGTCTAAACGAACTCCGTTGGGACCTCTGCGATTATTAATTATGTTGTCAGACTCGTTGTAAGAGATGGATCTTCTACCTGTTATAGCCGTGATTTGTAATTAGTAATAGAAATGTTCTACTCAATAGTTTTCGTTTCAAAACCTCCATTCTGTGCTCCATAATCCCCACCGGTAGAAAATTATTCTGGTCTTCTTCCGTCTGAAGTCCGAGTCTGTGGAATAGATAGGCACACTCCGCAGATTAAACAACATTGCGGTAGACTTTATTCGAGGTGCAGAATGCGAACTACACGCCTATCCTATAATCCATACGACAATCTATGTTAGAAAATAAGGGAACTCAGACTAGTAGAGGGCCTTATTCAAGGTCATTCTAAAGAAGAAGGTTGAACATGATGTTCAGTGCAAATATCGCCTATTCTGCCTATTGAGGGTGCTGTAAGGCTATTCTTCAAGATTGCTCCATATTTCAAAAACTTTGGATGAAGCAGTGAAGCAAGAAACATTTCGACGAGAATTCTGCTATGGAAAAATTGGTGATCAAGAATAAAACCCACCTTGTAAAGGAACTATGTCCAAAGTGTCTCAGGTCTATCACGAAAATAGGAACCTTCATCGAACTTACAATCAACGATATGGTGAACGGGGTCCGATAGTGCGACAACATCTCGCTAAAGCTGTTTATTGGCGTTTTGCTGTGGATGGTGAAGTTATTTGATTGGAGCAAATAGCCGTACGCCTTGACGACATTTATTTTAGAAACCTCCGCTTTTACAGTGACATTGAAATTTTTTTTCAAGAAATGTCAGTGAAGAAGATACAGTCGTCGAAAAGATATGGACAAAGGAGACGAAAACCGAGTTTGTGAAAAACCTAGGGTTCTACGACAAAGAACAAGGTTCTTATTTTTTATTACTAAGACTACATTTTTCATTTATGTGCGATGTTCAGTGAACGTGGAAGATGGCATAAGGGAAGAATTGCGAAAGGGAAAGGGAACTATGACGTGGTTCAAGCATCTTAGAGAAGCCAACGCTCGTCTAATGAACTCTGAATTCGGCGCTTAGATCTTTGATTCTACGGTTGTTTCAGCCCTCTGAGATAGCTGAGACGTGGCCTGATACTTCATCCGCGCAAAAAATCCAATACTCACAAAACTTGGACGATCTTTTGTGAAGTGTAACCCGCACAAACATCCAGCCCGTCTGCGAAATTCAGATCTGCAGAGTTTTCGCACCATTGAGGTCTAAAGGGGTATACATCGAAGGCGAAAATGAATCGGTCGACGTCAAGAACAATAAACCGGACTCGGAAGATGAAGAAAAGAAAGAAAATGAAGTTGTCCTCTAGGATTATCACTTACAAGGCAGAGGAATATGCTTGTAGCTCACGTCAGTTAGTTGTATTCGCAAATGTAAACGTTTTATGGATGCTATATTGAAAGTGTGATAAAGTTCACATAGCTGGTAGGAACGGGTGGTCCAAGTATCCAGTTAAGTGATTTCACCCTATGGCTTCAGTTTATGGTACAGCTTTGATAGAGCATTGAACGAGTGATGTGATTTGTAAAATATTCTATCGATTATCTTAGAGACTTGGATAACTTCTAAAAGGAGCAAAGATTTCTTTATTTTTGACTGCAGTACCAGAAATTTGAGCGAATAATGATGCTTAGATATTTACAAAACTCCGAAGCGCAGGTGTCTGTGGGATGGATCGAACACATTATTGCCCTTTCCGGGAACCTGCAGTCCGGAGTTTTTGCAAATATCTTAACATGATTATGGTTGTATTTTATATAATACCCAATCGTGAAAAATTGCAATAGTCAGTAAGTATAAAGTCAGTAACATAGCTGCGAGACAGGCGAAACGAAGGACTTGCATGGTGTGGTGTTGAACGCTTTAGCCCACGGAAAGGGTAATAACGTGTTCGGCTTCCACCACACCAGCGGTCCGGAGTTTTGAAAATATCTCAATAACATTATGGCTGAAAAGTTAACATTTATGCGCATAGTTTAGTTTTCATATGCGCTACTATGGCATTGGCGCACATATGAATGACGTATTATTATATATCACACAGAAGTGGACTGCTATTCTTCATCCACAGATTCGGTTATTGCGTACTTTCAAGACTGAAATCAATGTGCCTTGTTTCATTGATAAGATAACACGAGGTTGTTACCAATATCGTTGGAGAGGTCGTTAAGGTCGGTTGTTACAGGAAGGTCGGTTTACAAAAACACTGTGAATATCTTCGTGAATAGTGAACGTCGTAACTCTTATCCGTTGTATACTAAGACGTTTGCAGGATATGTAACTCATGGATCGATCATCCCTCGTGTGAACACCCCTTCTTCTCTGGGATAGGAATATCACTGTTCTTTCCTGTGTAATGTTATTCATTTTCTTCATGTGGCATTTTTTTCTCTTGCTATCTCATTAAGAATTTTTTGTTGCGATAATTTCAATGTCTATAAAGAAATCCATTTGTTTGTGTGGAGTATTTTTTGGATTTCCATACTATGCATAACAAGCGACTGTCGATTGTTTCCAGGATTTTCTTTGTACTTTCGAAACGATTCGTCTGTTTAGTCTTCAAATTATATTCGAGCTTGTTGGAAATAATCTATTCAGTAAAATTCAACCCATTTTATGATTTTGGCGTGCTCCAATCGTTATTGCATTTTTGGAACAGCCAAGGTCTATCGATCTGTATCTTCTCGGAACGTGATTGGATTGTCATTTTTGCTTCTTATGGTCACTGCATTCAGTACTGCTCAGTGTTATTGCCTGAATTCTATGTGCTAACTTGGACTTTCGGTACTTTTCAGTATGGCTAGTCCTCGCACTCGACGCGTCCTGAAGGAACTACGTCCTCTCAGTCAAAATAATGTAGGTTTAGATTTTTTAGTGAAGTTCATCATCTGTTGTAATAGGTGAAAACTTATAAGTTTATCCATAAGAAACGTTTTGGGCGTAAGATGTTGCTCAGGTTCAGCTACGACACAGAAATTTAATGCTGTCAGGACAACCTATTCTCAGAATAGTGAACATATAAGAGTGTTCAGGAACGAATATCGCCAACTACCACTTTCATCATTCACAGAGATGGTTTTAATCCATTGCAGAGGAAACTGTAGGAAGTTGTGGTAGTGAAACGTTTGGCACCACTGATCAGCGCTAAAAAGGAAAGATTGGAATTGCTCTGATTTTGCGGCTGTATGTGAAGAATTAGCACACCAAAAAACAGTGGTGAGCTCTCTAGAATGTGTTGTTACCTATATATCTGGTGTAGGGGTGATCTCCATGTGCTGTTGTAGCTGGACCTGAATGAGAGCTGTCTTCTAAAGGTCATCAGCCAATAAACTTTTGAGATTTTCTTTTATTGAAGCATAAGAACACTGAAATGACCAAGTTTTTGAGTAGAATAATGTATGGAATTGGGCAGTTTTGGGATTTATACTGGATATTTTTGAAGTATATACATGTGTTCTGTGGTCTAATATGTATTACTTTAGATTTTTCCATTTATTATTTCCTTAATGGTTTTTCCTACTGTAAATTCCGCATGTGGACTTTGCTCGGCAAGTCCATTTGGGTTATAAAGCTTGTTGTATCGACAGGAACATGTTTAGTTTTGTTTTGAATGCGGAGCGAGTAATCCACAATGGGTGTCCGTATCCTATGGAATATGGATTTGCCTAGACTGCTCTGGACTGCATCGAGGTCTCGGCGTACATCTTAGGTGAGCGTTCTACTCATTCGTGGCTCGCCATTCTTTTTATGGTTAACTTTTATTTACTGCCTATTATTTTTTCCACGGTAGGAGATTGTGTGAAATATAACCCCAATGATGCTGAGATGCCTCATACTTCAAATTCTCGATTTAATTTATGACCTTTCAATCAGTTTAGATTCCGTATGATTGTCGAACAGTTTCTTCGACGTTGCCTTCACAGAGTTAACGGAGCACGATGCGCAGTTCTTATTATATCATATTTTTGAATTCTATAGTACTATCGGAATATTTAAAAAGGAGATTCTTCTGATTTTCACAAAGTGTTAGCATCTCCAAGTTGTCTATTTTTAGTTTTTGCATAATTATCCAGTTGTAATGCCTTATGAGCAACCCAGGCAAGGGTTTATCTACTTATCGGAGAGTAGGAGTGTTCCTAGGTGTATAAATGTGATTTGTGATACATAGGGATCTTGCTCCGAAAGATTCACGCAGTCTAGCACCTGAATTCGCCCACTTGAAAGCAAATCCATGTCATTCTGGCAAGGGTGGTCTGCTTGTGACAAATTTTTCGTCAACATATTTATTTATATGACGTTATAAACTGATCTTCTTTAGCTAATGCGAGGTTGGCACAGGTCTTCGTTGTCCGTTGTCGTTGTTGTTGGTGTTGTTTGTCGATGGCTGACGTTTCGGCGATTTCACCTTCCTCAGAGCCTGGACGTATTTTATACAAGAATGCTTTAATTATTCGGTGGGAGAAAAGGCGAAAGTATTAATGAAGATCAAACTTTTAAATATTTTATACAAAAACACTTTAATTAATTAGCCTTTTTGATCAATATGGCGTCTTCCTCATTGGAAGTCACGAAAAAGCGCCTCTGAAGAAGGCGATACTGCCGAAACGTCAGCTAGCGTTGTATTGTATTGTGTTTTTCTATGGAAGTAAATGTATGCTGTTTAAAAACCTCGCGATTGCTGAACAAGAAAACGACACAATATGGCGTCTATTTAAAAGTTTGATCTTCATTAATACTTTGGCCTTTTTCCTACCGAATAATTAAAGCATTTTTGTATAAAATACGTCCAGGCTGTGAGGAAGGTGAAATCGCCGAAACGTCAACCATCGACCAGCAAGAACACCAACAAAAACAACAACGACAGCGACAACGGAGACCTATACCAACCTCGCATCTGCTAAAGAGGATTAGTTTATAAGATCGTATAAATAAATATATCAACTATCTGTGCCAAGGTTTATAGAAAGTCAGTCTTTTGAGTTATTTTTGTCAACAGTAAAACTATTGGGTCCCATAGGAAATAAGCTTTGACGGGCGGCAGAGATCAGTGGAGAATCTGTCAAGCCTGTTCAACCCGTATGATTGTTAACAAAATCACGGGTGGTTTAGCTGATGCGTTTATCTGGATCTAACTTTATATCTAGCTTTTCTTGTTGCTTGGTGAAGTTGAAAACAGCTTGAGGTATTCAGTTGTTTGCTTCGGCAATGCTTCCCATTTCTGCAGTTCTTTTCTACAAGCACGCCTTGATAAACATAGTTTATTTTAAAGTAATCGGTTCTAGATGTAGTAGTTTGGGGTATTGGTTGACACTGTATCGTTGTGCAGGTAGAGTGTTTTTTGTTGTAGTCCTTTACTACTAGGAGTCTTTAGCGATAGAAAGGAGAAGCTTTTATCATATGGTGTACGTTTTCATTAGAATTCAAAGGATTTTTTCGTAATTGTATTTGGTCCTATGGTGCTTCGTAACACCTGTAGTCGAAGCTATCGTTTTTGGTTCTCATCTATTTTCTCTTATGCAAATTTCCACAATGGTTTTATACGCATGCTGAAGAATTGTGTTTTTTTTATATAGCTGTTGGTTGCAGAGACATAGTATGTGCACCTGATATTTGAAGCGTTTATTGCCTATTTCATAAATGCTATGTTATTGGAACATTCACTATGAGAGAGGAGCCGGAGTGCGTATCGTAAATTTGAAAACACTTGCTTCCCCAAGATACTGCAGTTCTAATGATTTTGTTAGGTAATATGGATGAATTAAGCCATCAACAATGCTGATGTTTTTTTGGAAGTTGGAAGAGGCTTTTGGAAGTTTCCACAGACATAGAGAACATCATGGGAGACAAGGCTATGAAGTTTGACGTGGTAATTAGAACTAAAGTCAGGATTAATGTTTCCATGAAATATGAGTGATATAGATACAAAGATCTGGTGTTTGGTTTTAATTACGACTTCTGTCTTGTATGATATTACCATCCTTATTTTAGTTTTTTAGTTTTGTACGTTCGGTAACTATGGACAAATGGAAAGATGTGGAATTGGCGAAAATGCGAGTGGGAGGAAATCAGAAATTTCGCGAATTTCTAGAGAGCCAACCAGATTACCGTGAGGACTGGTCTCTACACGATAAGTACAATTCACGTGCTGCTGCTTTGTTTAGAGATAAGGTACAGAGTTTTCTTGCTTTATTTGGAGTTGCAAACGGTTTCAATAGCTCTGATCAGGTTGCAACAGAAGCGGAGGGTGGCGAATGGTCTGCGGCTACGTCAGCAGCACGTAACTACGTTCCGTCTTCACTTGGCGCTGGAGATAGGATTAGAGGTGATACATCAAGGTTTTCCTCTGCCACTAGCTTAGGATCATATTATGGAGGAAATGCAGCAGCATATTCAGATGGAGGTGGATACAACACAAGTGACACCAGCCAAAGGTGTGTGGTTTTGGTACAGTGTTATATATTATAGTGGCTGTATGTAACCGTCGATTTTTAAAAATCTTTTCCTTTATTTTTTACCTCTCTCACTGAGTGGTTAAATTCAGCGACGAACGCTACCGTGGCTTCGGAAACACTGTTGACTCGGCTAGTACGCAAGATGATCTTTTGGCTGGTGCCATGTCGTCTCTTTCTATGGTATTACCTTTCCTTTTATCAGTTATCATTATTGATTACTATGCGTGCATAGGTGTTTCTTTGTAGGGTTGGAGCATAATTTCAAGAGGAGCTTCACAGGCTGCTGCTATTGCTAAAGATGTTGGTATGCAAGCTTCCCAAAAAGCTAGTGAATTGTCGGTGAGGTCTCATCATTTTATATACATATATATGTGTATATACATATGTATGTATATATATGTACCTATATAACATATGTAACACTGCTTCGATCTGTATGGAACTCTTGTAGTGCGTTTCACTTTCCAAAAATGGTGTGGAGAAATACATAACATGCTCATTCGGGTTACTTTATATCGCGTAATAGGTTAATAGGTCTGGAAAAGTAACATATTGCTAATGCAAACACATTTGTTTCTATAGAACGTACGGCACTTCTCCATTGGTGGAAAAACTAATGAATGACTGGTAACATACACTATCACTCCTAAATCGACTTTTCAGTGTTTGTTCTTTAAAATGAGCTTGTATTTATTATTCTTTCACTTTTCTAAGGCAAATAACGGTGGAATCCTTTTTGGAGTAGCCAGCAAAGCCACAGAAATTGGACAGAAGTCATGGGGCGGAATCTCGCAATTCGTCAAATCGCCGTCTTTGCAAGGTCTCGGAAGTATTTTACCAAAATCGTGAGTAGCTTTCCTACTTCAGCGTCGTTTTTATACGTGGGGAATAATTGGATATCTTGACACTATAGAAATAATTTGTCTTCATTATCGAATTAGAAAGTTGTTTTCACACGTTTTATTCTCTTCTTGTTCCTGTGGAATCGCCAGAGAATCCGGAAGTTTAGGGGAGTTTGTAACAAAAATATTTTGCGTAAAATCGATGACCCTTATTTTTAGCGGTTATGAAGACATGACTACGGTGAAAAATCAGTCTTACGATACAACTGTAAACAACACTAGCATCCATGATAACATTAGACAGTAAGTTTTTCGGTTTCTTTGTCTGTATTTTTTATTATTACATATTACAGCACTTCTTGCATTCGATTCAATTCCTCTATCGTTCACTAAGGTCTTCGAACTTCTTGTGTGTGGTTTCGGCTGCTGTTTGACTATTTTTCCATCTTGATCACCAATTTTGTTGAATGTTGGTGAGGTCGATTCACCTTGGAATCCTTAGATAGTTGTGCTGGGGCGTTTCCACATGAGCTGAGGGGAGTGAACTTGCCGCGGATAAGTATGTTAGCAATTTTCTGACCTTGGAAGTTTGGTGGCCCGATGGGGCATCAGGTCAGCACAGAGTTAAGTTGGGCTGTCCACGTGATAAACAGGACCACTTCCACCGAATTACTCGGTTCCCTTTATTTGCCCTGCATAACACATGTTTTAGATTCAATTCACTCGGCGAGCCAACTTCCCAAGCTGACAGCACTATTTTCTCCTTGGAAGGTAATGCTAACTTTTTTTTGTCACTTCTAAAAACTCTAGAAATGTTAATTGTGGTAGCTGTATTGTAAATTAGGTGTTAAGGTAGTAATATCCCTTTAAGGCTGTAATCTAAACGAATTGAAATGTAGATCGTAGATTTTCTAGATGCCGACTCGAGTATAAAGAACATCACATCTGAAAAGAAGTCGAAAGGCCTAGGTAGACCGAATTTGACACCATCCTATGTTGAAAGAGAGGTTGTTACTGGTACGTTCCTTTACCGTTTTGAAAGAAAAAGAAGAAAATTAGCAGTGATGTTTCAGACTCCACAATAACGCAACTGGAGGCATCATTCAGCAAGCGTCCAGATACCACAACCACTGTTTTGAAAAGTACGAAGAGCGAATCATCTAACAAAGCGTGGGACGATGATGCTTGGGCGATTCTGAATAGTTAGACTGCATAAATCACGCTGACCATGAACTGTCTTCGCACATAGTTATTGACGTCCATTAAGGTTTCATCTTCTCGTGATATAGTGCTATTTCAGCAGATCGGTTGGGGAATCCCTATTGTTAGGTGAATGTCAAATATAATGCTAGTCATGTTCTTCTAATGGAATAATGTTATTGCTTATATCTAGTGACCTAATTATACGAAATAAGTACATCGTAGGGGTGATAGATGTTATAGAACTGTGGGCGTAAATATTCTGTCTCAATATTCATATCGCTAAGAAAATAGCGTGGCTATCCCCAGTAGTTTTCGTAGTGAGGGGATTGTTACGACTCACTGTGATCAATGGCCTTTCACTTCTGTAACAAACTTACGTACATATCACATCAGCCACCACCTAGGTTATTATAGGAGTTTGTCGCGCTCTTCGAAATGGGTAAGTTTCTTAGGTTAATGTCGTATTCATATTAATTGCTATATGTCACTGGATATATTTTACAAAATCTCTCTACCCTTTTTTCATTCAACTTACACCATTTACTCCTACATGCCTGTAATTCCGTCATTTTTGGCAGAGAGTAAAAAGTGTAGTAGACCTTACTGAGGAATAAAACTCTCATCCCATGAGATATAACATCTGATATGAATATTACACACGTTTATCCTAAAAAGATTACTTTGAAAACTCACGCAACATTCAGCAAGGTAACCTCATTGTCATGCTTTTCTTGTACGGTTTCACTAAGGTACGGTGTGTTCTCCCTCCATACGTAGATTCAGTACGTTGGACTTATATAAATATTATTCCCAAGCATTCCGAACTTATGTGATGACCCAGTATTTCTGTTAAGCGAGAGGTAGACATTCTGTTCTGACTTGCTCTACATTTTGGATGTTTTATTGTCATTTACACCACATTTAAGAAGTTGATTGCTTACTTATGCAGAGGGGAAGTTTTTTCGTGAACATATGTTTCTCTAATAAATAGATCCGCAACGTTGTTGTATAATACATGGATTTAAAGAATTTATACTAGATCTTAGAGCCTTCTAGACCATTCTGAACTCCTAAGCATCGGTTTTCGATTGCACCATTCACGTCAGTGTCTATCAACGGTCGTCCGAGACGAGATGCTAGCTGGAAAATTTGAAGTACAGCTTTTTTGCAGCCCTAGACGTTACGTTTGAAATTCGAAGTAAATCCTCACCTCAACTGCGTTCGTGAGGCGGACTTCTCTTTTAGTACGCACAAAAGACGTAACTCTTCCTAGGAAGGAGGAACCTAGTCGTCCAACACGTCCAATCCTATAATTTGTCTTCAGGAACGTATAATTCTTGGGAATACACTAAAGTTTATCGTTAACACATGGAGCCCTATGAAATTCAATGACTGTGAAATGTCTAGGTAAACAGTGTATATACGGAAGAAAAGAGTAACCTGTGTAGAAAGTCAACGTTGTAGTGTGAAAGGTCGTAATTAATTATGTGGCTTAAACGTGGGAGATCAATCCCTCTGAAAGGTAATCTTCATGAACATTCACATTAAAGCGATAGAAGAAATCATGAAATACTAATAACAAAGTAACACCAACATATCCTTGACCAAATGGGTCTTATATTGCTTTCTGATGTTCGAGAACGATTATGCATTCCTTTTAATACATTCGGTACGAAGCTGGATTTTAACAACAGATGGTAATTATTCAATCACCAGAGTACTTCAGTAGTTCAGAACTTTAAAAATTCTAAAGAATAACGGCACTTGCAAACACAAACTATCCATTGGGAATACGATAGTGTTAAGTCGGATGAAATCCTACTTTTACCATATTAAAAGAAGAAAACTTGTATCGTGTAGGCAGAGGTTTTTACATTCTAGTAGTTTTTATTATAACCACTAAAGTTCATTAAGAGCTGAAATATTCGGTTTAAAGTTGAGAGCGGTCATTATCTTCACATCAAATGACTCCATATGGAAATCACGTCGCTGTGAATGTGTTGAACAAGAATGCAACAGCTTTTACTGAACTCTAATCATTGCAGTAAATGCTATCAATCATTCTAATCTATAGACCTCTACAAAGAAAAGAAATACACGCTTCCTTACTTATGACGGATTCTGATCTTATGTATCATAAAGGTTGATTTCTTCTTTTTTTTTCCATTAGATCTTGCGCAAGGAAAAGCAGGGTTGACAAAGCGAGTCAATGTCCGACAGAACATGACATATCCGAATACCTCGCCAATTTTGCTGTATGTCATGTCTGCATCAAGGATCATAAAGGAAAGAAGTCATAGTACTAGAATATTAGGAATTTAATACATAGTTTCAATCCATAAAAAATTTGCATTTTAATTCCAAGCAAGCTCAAAATATAGCCACATTGTCGCAAAATTATACACGTACTCACAGCGCTATGGAAAAGTCCCATCTACAGGTCTGTCAACTTCTAGAAAAAGTAACACGGTTATGATTGTGAGCGCTTAAATTAACAATGGTTTTTTTTCATCAACGGAAAAACATCAATGAACTCGCCTAGCTGCTCCATCGGTACCGACAAAGATTCTCGCGGTCTTTTCATGATCGTTATTCAATGAACTCCATAAAACAACCTCGTATTCGAACGATTGCAATTGCTTATGGACAAATGAAGCAGTTGCTCGGTTCTTCAATCTAACTTAATGATAGACATTGCATAGTAAAGAAGATTTTAACTGACCTTACAAAATACCATAGTCTCGTTCAATTTTCCAAGTGTCATATCCCCAGTGAGGAGCTCCTTTAACCGTGCAATTTTGTCCTTCTCTCGAACGCTAAATTGTGTAGTGGCAAAATGTTTATGAAGTTACATCAATATCTCAAAATTGAAGGTCATTCAAGCTCTACAACTGGTCTCATGAGTGAAAAACGTTGAAAACGAAATGTCAAAGATTTAGGATAGTCTGGAACAGACTAGAGATTTACCGAATAAATTTCAACTCCAGATTATGTAGCAAAGAATGGAGCCTCGGGCTTCTGATATAATGAAGGAACTGACGATCGACCACACCATCGGCTAGGGATTCCAGCTGTTCCGGGCAGGTAGCAGAAGAAAATATGACTCGAGCACCTAAACATTTGAAAAAAAAACTCATTTACTTCATATAGGTGTTGACAGTGGGGAGACATGGAATTCTACCTGTGGAAGTAAGGCCGGTGTTCGTGATAGAATTGGCAATGGGTATAAAAGAAAAGATTTCCGTGAGGACACTGGTAAAGCTGTCATCAAGAAGCATGTCAGCTTCGTCTAGGATTAGCTGAAAATGATTAAATGGATCAATGGAAATGGGAGATAAAAATGAACCAGAGTTGTATGTATCCAAACCGACGTTACTTACATGTTTTACATCACATAAATACTTGGATTTCCGAAGACATTTCTCCACAAGACCCGGAGTTCCCACCAGAACGTCCCAATCGTCCTAAAATTTTAGTTTTCACAACCAAAAGGTGAAGAAAAGAAGAAGACGAATTTAAGATTACCTAACCGTGAAATCGGCTTCTTTAGAGCACGTTGAGATTTTCAGGTCTGTTTTGGAAGACAGTTTAGACAGCACCACCGCAATCTGAGATTTGAGTGATGATGTAACGGCAAGAATGACAGCTATAATATGCGGGATTGAAAAGACATCGTGAAATACATTGTTAGCAACCAAATTCTGCTGCCAAAATTCGTAAATTCGCAACACTTTCGCTTTTGGCTCCCATGGTCCAGACTCTACTACTACATGGGATAAGTATGCAATATATACCAGTGAACTCAGATTCCGAAATGCATTCCACATCCTACCAGCGTTAATCTGGAACGCGTTCTGTATTACGTCCCTTCTGTGGTAGAACTACGGAGGAACTACCAGCGTTAGCATTGTATTCCTTTTACACAGAAGGTGGGTGTTCACCGTTCGACCTTCTTGACGCTCAATTGGAGCTTTTTTCAGTAAAATTTTTGCGAATTGTATGTTCCATCCACAGCCGGCACAGAACCAAACCAGAATTCACCATCACATCTTGCTTAAAAAACAAATACGATTCAGTTGATCGTCTAGGAAACTTTTCCAGCACACTCGATGGCTCTGAAAACAAACCACCTGGCCAGAGATAGGAAGTGGGCATTTGGTGGAACCTTATCAGAGAACTTCTTTGGCTGGATGACAAGTGGGCCTTGCAGATCGAAGTAAAGCCGGATTTTCACAACAGGCTGGTATACGGCTCTAGAAGCTTTTCTGATTGGGCACCAAAGAGGTCTTCACGATCGATACCGCTATTACAGCAGACCTTTACTGAAGTCAACTGAATGAATTGAAGGACGCTCTCAACACATTCGACCGAATACGTAGCCAGATGATCATACAGTATGTCAATGTTTTGGAATATAGTAAAAAAGTCATAGAATCCGTTTTGGGCTCCTGCAAACTCTACTTAATTCTTTGGATTATCGTCAGTTCAAATTAAAGCATAGGTACATCTTCTTAGATTTTACACATTTTTAAAATGAGGTACTAGGAATGTGTTCTTTCAATCGGTCCTTCAAATTGGAACTCTGTGCACCTTCTACTTTAATGGGTCGAACTACTGACGAAAACACCTCAAAAATACTTCCTACCAACGGTTTACTGTCTCATCGTGGCCGGGAGGTGTTCCTGGGTGTCGGGCTGCGATGCACAGCGGGGGAATTCATCTCTCCCAGCATGGCCTCCCGAGCTGAGAAGAAGTCCAGCGTTTGCACTAGGAAACCCAGCTAAGAGTCAACCAATACCAGGACCCGCTATCAAGCTATCAAACTAGTCGCATGGTAGTCAATCTTCCTCTGATCCATAAGAGCGGCGACCGCTTGGAGTGGTGACGCCCTGGGGTAGACTTCGGCTTGGCTGACCTTGAAGCTCCAGGAAACCACAATGACAAAACCAGCAAGACTCCGAAAGAATGGAAATTATGCTGGTGCCCGCACAACCAATGAAGGCGGGTCATCCAGTACCCAAGTAGGTAAGTAGTTTTCTAAGGAAGTTTTAAACACGTAGCCAACCTAATAGTAATTGACTCCACCTTTTTCAAAAACGCCTTTCTGCTTTTGATGCAACAATTTTGTAATCAAAGGTGCTGCATACGCAATTGTTTTTCCACATCCTGTTTCAGCAGCGATGAACAGATGATGAGTTGACAGAAACGCCTTGAGGCACTGAGACTGTAAACAGAACGGTCGTCCATAAAAAAACAATAGAAAGCTAACTCGACAGCTATAAGCACAAAGTTCAGCGTTTGTACCTGAATAAAGGTAGGACTCTTCAATCCGAGTTCTTCCAGAGCACTTTTTACCACGGGATGGAGACGATCTGGAACATAACATTCCCATGTATTTTCCCACTTCACGAATTGATTAGACACCTAAACAGATGTGAAAATGATGTGAAATGAAGCGCTGAAAATACATGACTACCTTAGTTCTTCTTTTGATCACAAACCAGTCGTCGCTATACTTGTTCTTTTCCCAAAAACGACTGCATAACGAGGTAAATGCTCCCAGTTGGCTCTCGTGAAGGTTGAACTCTCGTCGGGAACATTCTGAAGAACTAACTTGAACTCGTACCACTCTAGATATCACAGGTTTATTTGGCAAAGTTTAGCAAAACTACCTATGAGGCAATGATCATTCACAGACGGAGGCTGCCGCTCCTGCAACTTCAGAAGCTGTTCTCTCTTTTTTTTGGACAGTGATAAAGGCACTTCTAGCTTCTTAACACTACGAACAGGTGCAGCAGTCTCGAAATCATGACTTTTGGGCCAACTGAGGCGTTCGATCCGTATATCGCTAGGACAGAGTGACCCAAACTGGAAACTATTTGTAACTTATGGGAAGGAATTCAATAGCAAGCAATTAAGCACTTACTGAATCACTATTGAGTTTCGCAATACGACTTCTTGAAGAGAATTCTCTGAGAGTGCGCGTTACAAAACATGTTGTCTTCATGGAGCTGGTCGGATAAGATCCTGATGAATCCTAGGACTAAAAGCATTAATAACTGGCTCCTACACAAATACGATGGCTCCAGATGAAGACAGCAGTGTCACCATGGGGAAAAATAATAGCATCCTCACACAGTGTTGTGGGTGGAGCCAGACAACGAAAGTGAAGTACGAGTTTCCCGCTGCACACTCGCTTTTTGTAGGGAGATTCAAATAGATAACTATCCATCTTAGCCTGCTGGTGCCTTGACTTCCCAAGTTTCCGGATTAATTATGAAGAAGAAGAGGAGAGAGGAAGGTGAGAAGATTTCACATTAGTGCTGTCGTTTAAATGAAGTGCATCTTCTCTGCTTGTCCTTTACGATCGGTTTATAGAACTACGGAAAGAATTGGCCAAAACTAATGATCCAACCAAGGAGCTCGACCTTGTCAGCGAATTGGGCTCCTTGTACAGATTGAATGGCGACATGGAGGCTGCCCGAAATTCCTACGAAAGAGGTATACTTCGCTTTGCTGCCGTCTCCACAAAGTATAGTTGTTGTTAAGCTATACAACTCGCCACGAAGCTTGGTAATTATTTGGATCTTTCATTTGCTCATCGTGCAATCGCCGAAATCTACTCGGAAGAAGGTTTGCTTCTACCAGTACTGTCTGTATTTGTCCTTCGTAAGGTACTTTGTATAGGTGATCGCGAACAGGCGCTGCAACATGCTGAGTTTTTTCGAGAGACTGCTCAGAAAAGTGGAAGCTGTTCGCAAATTCAACTTTCTTTACATGTGACTGGATGGATCTATGAAAAACTGAACATGCAGCAGTCCCATGACCCTATCGATCTTGAAAAGGTTTGATCGAAATGCTGCCATGGTGTTGTACAGTCTTATGCGGAACAGAATCTGTGGGCAGTAATGTTCTATGTTTAGGCCCTGTCATGGTGCATCAAAAGTATTGACTACATTAAGAAATTTGGCCACAGTATTGATGCGGATAGGAAGGCAGTGAGGATCGGTGGCGATTCAGCACGTAGGAAAGCTGGTCTGGTTGGTCTATTGAGCACTGTTCTCCAGGCGACATCCATGTTCTTCGCATAGTTTGCCATGTCAAGTACTGGGAGTGGTCTATAATTCTGCAGTTCTTTAGGAACGGCTCTGCTCAGGAATCTGCGCTAATCTCCAACGCCGTAGTGAGGCTGAAAAGTACTGGAATACCGCTTATGTATATGCGAAGTAAAGTCTAGAATTTTCTGTGTTGATTTGTTGAGGTTTATATTGTTTGAAGTTTTTTTAGTAGTACAAGCGCAACATTATCTTTCAGAATTGCACGCATTCCCATTTATGATGATGGCACTTGTACATAGAAAACTAGCTGAGAGAAAGGTGAAACGAAGGATGCGCATGGTGTGGTGGTGAACGCGTAAGCCCCCGGAAAGGGTAATAGCGCGTTAACTCTCCACCGCAGACTACTGTGGTCCAGAGTTTTGCAAGTATCTCAGCGCCGTTGTGGTTGTATCACACATAATACCCTTCCGTGAAAATTGTAGCAGGCAATGAATAGAAAAGTTAACATTCCCATTTATGTTATTGAGCAATCAACCGGATGTAACGAACTTTAGGCGTAGTCATGACACGGATTTGGAGTATCAGTTACTTCTTGCCCGTATCGATTTCTCTTGGGAATCTCCTGTAAAAAACGCTCAAAGGCTGGTGAATTTTTCACCTGCAAAGAAGAAAGGCTATGCACTCATAGAGCTCGCACAGGTGTTTCTTACCTTCTATTCTTTTCTTTTTGTGGTTAAGGGAGTTGTCATTGCATGAAGGCATGAACTGAGAATTTGATAGCAAATCTCTCTATCTTCTTGGAGGTCCTGGTATTCGCTGGTGATTTTGTGGGCGCTCAAAACGCACTGTTTGAATGTCTGGTACACCACAGACCGTCAATGATAGCAGAAGATGTTGCGTTGTTAGACGCACGTGTGATTTTTTGTGAGTTTTGTGCTTCATATCCTTTTCGAATAACCCATATTTTTAATTATTTGAGATTAATATCTCTTTATTCATTTTCTTTGGTCGGATATTGAATTTTACGTTCGACGTGCCGTAGCCTCCCAATGGTTTACCGCCTCATCACGGCTGGGAGGTGTTCCTGGGTGTAGGGTTGCGATGTACAGCGGGAGGATTCATCCCACCAACAGGGCTTCCCATGCTGAGAAGGAGTCCGACGTTTCCATCAGGAAGCCCAGTTAAGAGTAAACTAATACCAGAATCCACCATCGTCCTGGTATCAACTTAGTCGCATGGTGGCAAATCTCCCTCTGATCCACAAGGGCTGCGGCTGCCTGTGGTGGTGAAGATCTGGGGCAGACTTTGGCCAGGCTGACCTTGGGACTCCAGGGAACCACAATGGCTAAACCAGCAAAATTTCGAAAAAGTGGAAATTTTGCTAGGGCTTATACAACCAGTGATGACGAGCCATTCAAGTGTTCAAGTTAGTAAATTCGACTTATATTTTAGTGTACAAGTACTTTGATCGGCTGGAGCGCTCAAAGAGTTCTGAATGTTCTCGTAGTGAACGACGTAAAATGTACGAACTGATTGCGGATTCATTCTGCTCCTATGGGTAGGTGTCTCGGTCTCTTATCGCACTATTTTACAATGATATTAGTCCAGACTTTATATTAAAGTGTCTATTTTAGGAGCGAAAGAAAAGAAATGCTTCAGCACGCGATCAAGTTCTATAAAATGATGTTGAAGTGAGTATTATTTCCTCATGGTTTCTGTCGATGCTACGTCTACTTTACATTTTGTTTCTAATAGAATACAAGATGATTGGGAAAGTGATGGTGAATTTCTCCTCACCATGTATGAAAGCGTGTCAGGTCGCATGACATTAGTTTATAATGAAGTCGCTTGATTGAAGCAAGAATAGTGTGCGTAATGATGTTAAATTCCTACAAAACCTCTGCTTTATGGTTCTCCTTTTCGAGGAATATCAGTGAAACACGCGATGCTCAAAGGGTTCAAAAAAGCAAAAAGGCTGATGGTGCGATGGAAAACAAATTGAAGTGAATAGTTCTTTGATTACGGAGGCCATATCACATTTTGCCTAGGGCGTTCTGTGACTATGGAGAACGACATGAAACAGAAGTACAGAAGAAGAACCACATAATGGAACGCGAGTAAAGTTTCAGAGCCTCAAAGAAGTATACTGTCGTACTTTAGGCAAACAAAAACACGGGCAATTTTTTTGACTTAATGGCCATCGTGATGCTCTACGATACATCTGAAACTTGACTTGTTATTTCAACTAAGTGGAAAGCTTTTTATTCCATCTACTGGGTTCTTGGTTTACGCCTTGTATAGGTACCGGCACATGCAACATTAAGCTGGAGGTCGCAGTCGAGAAAATTCCGCGGTGGACAGAAAAGGAGAAATGCACTGAGGTATCCCGGAATTAACGTTAGATTTGAACCTATACCGTCAAAGTAACGTATTTCAGCTCAAAACAAACGTTATTAAGTGGCGAGGAACAAGTTGATTTATACCATTTGCTTTAAACTATCAACTTCTTGAGGTGATGGAATTGTTGAATGCAATTTCGGCGTCGGCTCAGTTTCTGAGGCATTTCTCGTGCAAGAAATTGCCAAGATTCTTGGAGAAGCGGTATTGGGTAGGCGAGAGGTATGGCGAGCATGATCGATAATGCACAGTTTCGTATTTCAGCTCAATCAGCCTTTATTCAGTTGATAGTGCGAAATAAATATAATCGTGCGTCGGTGGTGCGGCGTATCGCCAATTCGTGTGGCATCTTTCTTAACTTCCATGTGTTTTTTAGATACTCCGAAATAGTTGAGATACTGAGACAAAGTTCTTCTGCAAGTTTCCGAACTACTGCAGTGGATTTGCTTAAGCCTTCAATTCTTCGTTATGAATAGCAGAAGGACGTCCGCGACGTTTTTCATCTTCAAGATTGAATCCGATAAATTTTCCAAACCAGCTGAACTGAACTGTGCGTTCGTTTACACTTCCTTAGCCCCGTGCTCCATTGATGTTTCGTGCCATTTGAGTTGCGCAAGTCCGAGTTTGAACTTGCAGAAGTGGATTCCTAGAATGTAATGTTTCGACATCTGGAAGTATGATGCGATAAAGCTCTCGGCTATTGTGAATCCCTGAGGAACGTTCCGTGGGTTTGACTTCATCGAGCATTATTAGAGGTCTTTGAATGCATATCTGGCTTTTGAAATAACTCGGAGGATAGTCTACCGATGTATCGAGACAGTGCTGGTATTCTCGTAAGCAGGTCTGGTACCAAGTTGCCGACCGTGCAGGGATGCAAAGCTCGGTGTCCCTGGCGCACAGGATCGATCCCATGTGTATTACGGGGCGCCACCTCCAAACACTGCGTTACACAAGCCCACTTACAAATTATGGCATTTATAATTTGTCAAAACACGTTTTATATTATAGTTCAGTTGTGCTTAATGGAAGTGAAAAGAGTTAGCCTTCCGGTGATACATAATAGTCTGCGTTCAGAAAAAAACTTGCTAAAACCTATATAAGAAAATGAAGTTACAAGTTCGACGTTGATCTGCGAAAGCCTTATGTAGGGAATGTTAACATTGGTTATTGGAAATGGTTTACTATTAGCTGGGTTTCCTCATGAAAAAATTGAGCTCGTTCATTGTTTGGTAATGATATCTAGAGGATGACACATAAATTGACCGTACCATATTTTTTTATATGTTTCGTAATATTTAGAATTTATAGTTGGTAAAGTTTAGTTTCTAATTTTCTATTTGAGTTGAGGTTTAGTTAGGGAAAGGAAAGAATTATGTTGTTTGATAAAAAATAGATTTCCAGAGAGAGTTTTTCGGACAAAGAGAAGCTTAGCGCGGCAGTTTCGATTGCCCAAACATTTATGGATATGGAAATGTTTGAAGAAGCTCTAGACTGGTTCGTACAAGTGCTCGATTTGGAAAAGAAAATCGGGAAATCTGAAACTAAGGTACGTCCGCTTTTTGATAACGTGGTGTCACTCATTTTATGCGCTCCTTTTTCAGCTGCTCCAAACGCGAGTGATAATTTTTGAGGCAAAATGTCGTTGCAAAAGTGTATCGAAGACCACTGTTCAAAGCGAATTCGATCTTTTGATTTCACAAATACCAAGTGAACGTGAATCCCTCAAGGTTTTCCGATGATTCATGCTAAGTCAAATGAAAGTTAATTCATCGAGGTTTAGTCAGCGGTTTATGGAGCTATGAGTTGTTTCCTTGCTGAACAAGGGGATCAGGTTGCAGCCAATATATACCTCCAACGTTCCAAGCAATTTGAAGCTGAATCGGATATTAGCGAATGTGATGAAGACGAAGATTGCGAGAACGTCACAGACGTCTTGGATGCAAGGTCTGATAGGGCTATTCTTTCCGAGTGCATGGGTAAGACTATTCACTTACGTCAACTACTAATAATGATTAAGAAATCAGTTCCGTATACTTTTCTGAGGCCAATTTTCCAGAAATGGCTCACTTGCAAAATAGCGACCGTGAAATAGAAAAAGATCGAGACAAGGAAAAAAATGCGCATGGAGAGACACGACTTCACATCGCAGCGCGTACTGCTGATACCGTAATGCTGGAAAAGCTCATAGCAGCTGTGAGTATGACATGTTTTACTTCAAGTTGAACGTTGGTTTGAAGCATCTTTTATTCTTCTCAGGGATACGATGTTAATAAACGTGACCACGGTGGTTGGACCCCTATTAGTGAGGCGGTTTCAGCTGGAATCCGGGACAACGTTCGCGTTTTGCTCAAAGCTGGTGCCGAAGTTGATCCAGTAAGTACAGAAGTCCTTAACGATGATGAAAACTCGGTGAGTTTTATAATATATTTGCTACACATTACTCAGTGTTGCTTTGTGTTTGATTGCCAATCGTAATTTAGACCGGCGGTGGTATCACTCCTTTGATGGAGGCGTGTGATAAGGGTTTCATCGAGATAGCTAGAGATCTTCTTAAGTGCGGGGCTTCCGTGGTTAAGAAAAACGCCGACGGATGGACTGCAGTTGACTTTCTGAGGTTTTATTTCAGTTCTTGAATCCCTTATTCATCGGGTGTTATGACACTTCTGTGCTCTGATATTCAAACAATCAAGATCCGGCAATGTTGATGTTAATATTTAAATAGTAATGTGTCATATTTCATAAATTTTCTTGTCTCCTATGGCGAGGAGGACGAAAATCATGTGAAAGAACTTTCGACTCTTGCTCAGTATATGGAGGATGAACAGCGAAAACGTAGGTTTTAAAGTTTGCACTGGAAGTTTTTTATATGACGTCTACTGTGCGGATCACAGCACTTCTGCCATCCGATTCGCTTCTTTGCATCTGACATCCACGAAAGTCTTCCAACTTTTACGTGTTGCTTCGGCTACTGCTTGAGGATTTTCATTTCATTTTGAATGCCGCAGAATGCTGCTCGAGTAGCTTTTCCCTGGATTCGAGATAACCGGGTTGGAGCATTCCTAATTGGACTACAGAGAGTGATTTTTTCCCGGATAAGTTCGGCACCAATTCTCCGACCCGGAGGGATGAGAGGCTTGGTTTACCCGGGGCGGAATCGAACCAACGCCATGCTCTGATGACGGACGTCACTACCACTGTGCTATCCGTCCCCTCACGACTTGATTTGTTATAGTCAAATTAGTAGATCAAACTAGAAGTAATATTTTCTTTAACAGTTCTGTGAAAACGACCATAGCAAGCACCGTATTCCAAACATTCAACGCACATGGAACTGGTCCTCAAAGCAACGCACTGTGATACCGAACTCGTCATGGAGTTTGAAGCGGTGCTTGATATCTCCTTCCCTGATATTAAAGTCATCTAAATTGCATAGAAATAAAATTATAACAGATAATGTATGTGCTAGCAGAATATTCCAGCTACTGTGAAGAAGATCCGGGCCTGGAGCGGAATCAAACTAGCAACATACATTGAAAATTACGCTTCTGTTTTCTGTAAATATTCTTTTATTCGCAGTAAGCGCTAGGAAAGATCGTGGAAGTATATCTTTATTGACTGGTCTATTCAGGAAGGTTTTGTTAAATTTCAGAATCGTTTCCTGTCCGAGGCTATGCACCACAGCGGCATAGATCGAAAAGAACACAGCCTCTTAGTAATTCGCGAACGAAGCAACATAGCCTGGACGAAAACGTAAATCTAAGCAGTTACAAGGTAAGTTTCATAGTTGTACTCAATGCCATATTATCTTTCGTTAGAATGACCTAATCGTGCTAGGAAACTCCGTTTGTTTCCATTAATTGCGGAATCTCAATCATGCGAAAGTGCCTGCTTCTGTATTGTTTTACGTTGTAGTTTCCCTGCATAGTTTTATTCAGTGTAGTGACCACCGGTTTTCTTTAAACTTCTAGTTTAGCAATGAGAATGGCTTATGTTTGCAGCGTATCATTGAAGGACTGGGTGCACAGTCAAGGAAGAAGGAAAAGCATGTTGTCTCTTATGAAGAAAGGGCGTTAAGCTTAGAGGATGATTTGATAGTTCTTAAATCACCAGCACGTACTGATATAGCACTTCCATGGGACTGTGGTCAGGAGCAGCGAAAGGTGGGCGACTGCGGCGCCGAGAGCGATACTCATCCTTGCTATCCTCCAGAGTTACCCCTTCTCTCAACTTCTAGAGCGAAGCGAGACGGAGTAAGTTTCAGTCTGGGTGTATACATTCTTACGTGATGTGAACAATTGAGGGAACATGTGTTATAGGTGCAGAATAATTATTCTCCATGCGAAATCATAGACGACATTGTAATTGCTGATGAGCTGCGATGCCGAAAAAGAAGAAATCAAGACTCATTGGAGGAGTCTAGCTTTCAAGTAAAGAAGCGATCACAAGAAACAAAGTACATGATTTTCGAGAGTTCTTCACTAATTATACTGTAGATTTTATTCGTCTAGATACCGAATAATCAGAATTTCTGTAAGGTTATCCCCAGGAACGTAATGAGATTTATTCGGCATCATCAGTGGCTGCTATCACAACTGTACAAATTCAGATCAAATACGGTTTCATTTTCGGATAGCGGTGTTCAGAAGCACTCAGCTGATCTTACAAAAACTCCGAAAGCCCTATCAAATGTAAATGCACATATTGTCGCAACTCTGAGATTTGAAAATGAACAAGGAGGAGTGCTTCGAGCTGATAAAGTGGTCTCATTTCCGAGGTGCATTTCTCACATATGGTTTTTACAAACATGACAAAGAGCAGTCTGCCTTTAATTGTAACATCAACGAAGTAGAAGTAAGACTATTAGGTTAGGTTCTACTCCACCAAAAGGCATATAATGTGAACATTTTATTTTATATGTTGAATTTTGTAAATTTTGAAAAGAATTTTTACTGAGCTTGCGAATTACTTGAGTCCTACATATGGTTGGATACTAAGTCATCCATCTAGACTGCTTTTTATTGTTGCAGAACAGCAACCATGGCGATCGCTCACGATCGATTCTGTTCAGAATTATCTGGTTATGAATCTAAGTTATTCGATATTCGCCTATCTGATGGAAGAGAAGCGGACGCTAACGTACCTCTAACATCTCTTGGCGAACCGCTTGTTATCGTATGCCGATTGCACAAGCCTACTGCTGAAGTTCTCTATAAGAGCAGGGCAGGTTAGTTCTATGGTTTTCGCTAGCTTTACATGAAATTTTGATTCCATTGTATTTTTGTAATCTGGGTTACCACTAAGCTTGTGGGTCTAGTAGGTTTTTTTAAGTGGTCACGCGTGAAGTCGTTTTGAAGTGTGTTTCAAATTTTGACTCCACTGGAATACTCGACCTTTCGTCAGCCTCGCCACATGATCATAGATTGGTTGAGGAGGTTTTGAAAGCGGTAGTTGACACGAATCGCACGATCAACCGACTTGTGCTTGATGGCTGTAGTGAGTTCATGAACGATTGATTTAATTAATATTCGTGATCGTAGCCCTTTTATTTACTGCCTTTTTCTTTTTAACGGCAGGGTATGTTGCGAAATATAACTCGTATATAATGCTGAGATGTTTGCAAAACTCCGGACCCGGAGTTTTGCAAATATTTCAGCATTATATATGAGTTATATTCCTGATTGTATTTGCATAATTTTATATAGCTGTAAAATAGTTCCTAAATATATATTTATATGTGCATTCACATTCAGACATCACTCTTGATATTCTCTCCGCTGTAGCTGCTATATTATCTCGTGTTGAAGAGTTTAGCTGCAAATACGTGGGTCTTCTGGACGAACATCTCGCGATATTGTGCGGAGTGAGTCAGTTGCCCATATTCCATATTATGTCGTCAGTAATGTTCATAAAGGGTCTACCTTTGCGATATTCAGGCCTCTCTTTATCTTTCCATTTCTTCTGTTGACTTGTCGCACAATGAGTTAACTTCTGGTTTTTTACTGTCGAAATTTATCACAACCTGCATTAATTTGAACGAACTTCGGATCTGCGACTTAGATTTGACACTCGGCGAAGAAGAGGTCATCACTAGTTTATGCGGTTAGTATTTCGCTTCACATTCTTTTTTTTAGTTCAGATCTTACTTTTAAATTAGGCGACTTTTTGTTAGCTCTACCAGTAGTGAAGTATGTAAAACAGCGCTAGATTACTATTTGCGGCATTCATTTTTTGTAGTCGTTTAACCATATGCCTTCATTAGCTTTGCGTGCTTCAGTACAAGGTAAATTCGTCTTACTTAATTGTTCACAGTTGTCCAAACTATTCCTAACATATTGTAATCACTTTTTTAATTTACTGCCTATTCTTTTTTCATGGCAGAGTGCACTGTGAAATGTAACTATAATGATGCTGAGCTATTTGCAAAACTCTGGATCGCACGTGTCTGCGGTGAGGACTGAAACACGATATAGCCCTTTCCGGATATTGCCCTTTCCGGGGATAAGACGTTCACCACCACACCATGTGGGTGTTCGATCCTTGCCACAAGCATGTACGGTCCCGGGTTTTGCAAATATATCAGCATTGTTGAAGTTATTTTTAGCATATTCTGGTCATCTTGGTTTTGTTTAATATACCGATTTTTTTTTCGATAATTGCAGTACTTGATGACCTAAGGACAGAATTATAGGAAAGACTGTTGTATCATTTCTAAGTATATCTGCTCTGGGATGTTATTTTCATTTCGAGATCGTTGAAGTTTAAATTTTCAGAGACTCAAGCAAATGTTGTAATTTTTAAAAACCTTCGGTTCAAATCGCGGTGGCTGTGAGCCTTAACGGTGCAGGGGCTTCATCGTGTTCCGCCAACCAAATTTCACAAAATTGCTTATATTTTCGAAGTATTTACCACTGTGGAAAATTTTAATTTATGAACTTTGGAAAATGAGAATTTTCTTCTACTGTAGAAAATAAGAAACATAGGAATAAGAAACCACGATCTCTCTCGTATGAGGGATCTCTAGCTGGTTAGTCGCGAGGCTACGTGGCGCGTCCCCAGATGGCGGATAGGGGGTTAATCGCAGACCAAAAGCGACCTTTGCTTCCCTGATTGGCACATACTTTCTGTATATGCTGGGCGTATTCATGAATGCGTCTGTGGGTGCGTTCTCGCTTATGCGGATTGTGTTCTACGAGTCAATTCGACCAAAAGACTGCAATCAAGTGACTGGAAGTATATGGGAGGCGGTTAGGAGTCGCCTCCAATAAATAAGCGCCATGTCCACTATGGAAGACCTTGGCTAGCTACCCGCGAGAATACCAAGCCCTCACGTCCAGAGCAGAGCAAGCTATACTTGGGTATCAAAATGCTAAACACAGTAAAAAAAAAAACGGGCGTCGTTCCTCTCACCACGGAAGAGCCTCCAATTTAGCAGCGTTGGGTAGTGCGAGTACGGAGACGCTGCTAAAATCTCAGGGCCAATGGAAGCTTCCTGGTATGCAAAGGATTAAGGTGACGACCTGTATCTACAATGTACGTACACTTGCATCCGAGTCCTCGATAGAAGACTTGCTCTTGCAAGCAAGAAGGACAAGGTACGACGTCATCGGCTTGGTTGAGACGAGACTGCGCCACCCATTCAACGCCTTCTGTGACACAGGAGAAGAATTGTTCTTCGGAACGTGCAACAGTAGAGGAGTCGGCTGCGTCGGCATTTTCGTCAACACGAGTTTGTCCATGAACATCGATTCATTTGAACAACTCACAAATGAAAAAAAACAAGCCTGATCGGACGTTTACGTTAACGATTAAAAAGATGTGGATCAACACCGACTTTGACAATTTTCGTCGTTTACGCGTCAACACCAAACTATGACGAAGAAGAAGTCGAAGCGTTCTATATGGACTTGGAGAAGTTCTACAGATAAGACCACACATTCTTCAAGGTCATCATTGGAGATTTCAACGCCAAGATGGGACCAAAAAGAAAGTCACATTGGGACCCACAGACTGGAATGGAACGAACCGGGTGAGCGGTTTTCTGAATTTAGCATAGCGGCCAAAACCGTCCATGGTAACTCGCAATGCCAGAAGCTCCACCCTCAGCGCTGGACTTAGTAGTCTCCCAGTAGAGAGTACCATAACGAAATAGACCACATCATAGTAAATACAAGGTTTAGCCTAACTAATATCCCTGTTGTCCCAAAATTCTCCACAGGAACTGCCACGACCGACTTTCTATTAACCTCGGCATTGATCAAGTAATTTTCTTCGTATTTTTGTTGAGCAAACGCGAGGTGTTATTATTCTTTGTTCACGATTAAGTTGACGTTTCGGCGGATTTCGCCTTCCTCAGAGCCGCTTCCTATGAGGTTTCCACTAAGTATGTCACGTAGAGACCAACCGCACAGAAATCACATGGAAGTATAATGTCTTAACATAATGTTCTGTCTGTCTGTCTGTCTGTCTGTCATTATACTTCCATGTGATTTCTGTGCGGTTGGTCT